CGAATCAGAGGCAAAATCCCACTATGAGGGGCTGAATGGAGATGCATCCGACGTGATGCTCGAAGTCATCGAAGGTTGATGATGTGGTCGGCTGGGCTTGGGCAACTAGGTGGGGTGGCCGGATTTACAAGTGTTATGGACAATGAGCATGGCAGAGGCATGACCGGTGAGTTCGACGAGGTGGAGGAAGTAGATGCAAATTGGGGATTTCTTGGTAAGGTGAGAGGCATCGATGAGGTTAATGATGGTAGGGACATTTCGAGAGGCTTTAGTGAACTGAACCACAAGGTTCGAGCAATGACGAGCTCTACAACAGAGACCAAACTCCGGCGAAGCACCCGTCAAAGCATGATGATGGTCTGAACACGGATCGAAGCATGATTGTGTTGGTTCTTCAATCTCTTCCTTCTCATATTCGCCGGAGATGATGGGTAAGCATATGGGTCGCGAAAACTGTTCGTGCTTCGGGTTCATCGGTCTGAACTAGGCTTTGCCAGACTTGGGGCTCGCTGGATAGAACTGGGTCATGTGGTTGGTGGAATAGGCAGCGGGCAAGGTAGCGAGGACAGAACTGATGGCGGTTCACAGCAGCATGGTTGGCGCAGCGGTGGGTGATAGGCTCGGCTGCAGCGGCTCAGATGGTGGAGAGCTCTGTCGTGGTCGGCGAGCAAGGGGGCTTCGGACAGTGGCCGACGAGCAAGAGAAGACACAGGTATCTTCATTAATACGGAGAGCTTCATACTACAGCAACAGTTCACCCACCACTACTCACCACTACCTTCAATTTCACCCACCACCACTCACTACTGCCTTCAACTTCACCTACCACCACTCACCACTGCCCTCGATTTCACCTACCACCACTCACCACTGCCCTCGATTTCACCCATCACTACTCTCACCACTGCTTTTAATTTCACCCACTCACCACTGCTTTTAATTTCACCCACTCACCACTGCTTTCAGCAACAACTTTATACTACAGCCGCCACCACCCTCATCGACGCAGCCACACCCAATTCCCCAACCTCTACCTGCCACCTAATTGAAGACAACCCAAGAAAAAACCCACCCCCTTCGATTTCACCCACCACCATTCACCACTGCCTTCGATTTCACCCACCACCATAGTTTAGGTTTTTTTATTTTTGCACTTTTCCCTTTTTTTTTTTTATGCATAAATTGTTGATGAGGGTAGATTGGTCCCATTTATTAAATTGTAAAATTAAAAAAGTGTCCTATACGGTCAAAGGGTAATTTGATCAATTTCTCATGTAAAGGGGTGTCTTTGTCCATTTTTAAACCTTGAAGGAGTGTCTTTGTTCAAAAAATAGGTAAATTTTTTATTAGTATTCTTTTGCCAAATTTCAGGGGTGTGACTGTACTTTACCCTTATAAATTTTAAGTATAGTATACAGAATATATTTTATTGTAATCGGTTATATATTATAAAATTTGAATTAATGATTTCATTTATGAATTTATGGATAAAATGAGTAAAATTTATTATTGTATTTAATATCGTATTATTATTTATTGGAGTATTCATGAAAAGTGAATATGTAACGACCCACTCCACCACATGGTATGATATTGTTCGCTTTGGGCCTGAGCCCGCACGGTTTTGCTCTTGGGTTTCACCCCAAAAGGCCTCATACCAATTGGAGGTGACATACTTACATATAAGCACTTCACCTTTCCTCTACCCAGGCGATGTGAGATTGTGCACCCGTAGCTCGCCAGTGTGGTAGCCTGACAGGCGATGTGGGATTGTGCACCCGTAGCTCGCCAATGTGGTAGCCTGACAGTGTCTCTCGCACCCGCCCACGGCACACCCGCCCACAAGGTCATCACAATCCATCCCCCTTGGAGGCCCGACGTCCTCGTCGGCACACTCCCGGCTGGGTCAGGCTCTGATACCATTTGTAACGACCCACTCCACCACATGGTATGATATTGTCCGCTTTGGGCCTGAGCCCGCACGGTTTTACTCTTGGGCTTTATCCCAAAAGGCGTCATACCAATTGGAGATAATGCACTTACATATAAGCACTTCACCTTTCCTCTACTTAGGCGATGTGGGACTTGTGCACCCGCCGCTCGCCAGTGTGGTAGCCTGACAGTGTCTCTCGCACCCGCCCACGGCACACCCGCCCACAAGGTCATCACAATCCACCCCCATTGGAGGCCCGACGTCCCCGTCGGCACACTTCCGGCTGGGTCAGGCTCTGATACCATTTGTAACGACCCACTCCACCACATGGTATGATTCGTTTCAGAATAATTCAAAAGGTATGACACAAATTCTTTAAAAAAATCATTTACATTTGTTTTTTTTTTTTTTTTTTCTTCTTTATTGATCTAGAACTCGATCGTCAGAAACCCTCGATCAGTATCACACCAGTACCCCCTCTAATTACCCTTGTTTTTTCCATATACAACGTGGTTTCTGATCGCGCACAATGCATCAATACAAAAGTATACTTTCATTATTTGGTCAAAAATTGGACGGGAGAGATGAGAGGGCAAGAATAACTATACTATCTACCAAAAGTGTCATTATCACTCTTCAATATTTTACATAATATATGTATTAACTAAAATAATGAGGATATAGTGGTGTAAAAGGATATAAAATTTGTCATCTCATTCTCACACAATGGAAGGTGTTTTAACTCTTTTTCTTACCTTTCACTCAAGTAAATAAGATAAGTAAAGAATATCTTACTTTTCTTGAGAATGTCTTATTCATTTTTTTACCATTTGACCTCTCATTCTTCTTATCAAATGAAACGGGAGTAAAGTCTGAAATATGAGAGTACTGAGTACATCTGTACATGTATCATACATTGAATTTTTTGCAAATTCAATTTCATCTTATTTTTAATATATTATATTTAGTACGCAATTCCTAGAGGTTAGTGAGCAACTACAAGACGCGTAACTATTACAATAATTATTGACCCATTCAAATTGTTGGGCTAATCCAATTTCTTCAATTAAAAACCAAAAATATTATTTGATCAAAATGTGCATGGAAAATGTATATAAAAAATTAAAAAAACAAAAAAAAAACAAAAAAAACTACACATTCTAATGGTATAATAGAACTCCAAGGGGCTTGGCTTAGTTGGAAAAATTTTGGGTTCTAGTGGCTCATGAAGTATTAGGTCTCATGATCGATTCCGGTTAGGTGTAAACAATTTCGCTGAAGCAAGTGTGTGAGTATCAACTAAAAAAAAAGTAGAATAGATATTTATATAGTGTCTAGATAATATATGAAAATTCAAAAAAATTAAGTACGTCTTGGTGTTGATTTGAATCGAACTTGTAGTTCATGGCATTTTAAAATTCAAAATTATATTAATTTAAGGATAATTTAAATGAAAATAATGTCTATTAGTATGCTAAATAAATAATGACATATTTATTGGCTCATTTATATATTAATAAATAAAAATAAAATAAAAAGTCAAAACTCTATACACTTTTATAATCTTCAAAAAAAAAAAAAAAAAAAAAAAGAAAAAGAAAAAGAAAAAGAAAAAGGAAAAACTTTTATAAGTAGTATAGATAGACTTTACAAGTAGTATTGATATAGATAGATATATAGATCTAAATTTAAATTGGACATCAATCAATCACATTAGAGAAAGTCAGATTAATTTATTTTAATATAAATCATATTATCTGAATAACGAAATAACTAAAAACAAAATTTATAGAATTTTGTAAACCCATTCAGCCCTCTTAAGTATTTTTAGACTTGTAATCACAAGACAGTCCAGATGATGACTTTGTTTCAAATTGTCAGCCACACGATTTGTGATTTTTCAATATTTCGTACTATATGTCATTTCGCTTATTATATTTATTTTTTCCAAATCATTTTTAATAACTTCATCTTATAGTTTTTTTTGTCATGCCTCTTTAAATCTTTGATGTTGGTGACCAAACCATTTAAATCTACCATAGATTTTATCCCACACATTCATTAATAACCTTATCTCTCTTAGCCACTCCACTCATCCATCTTTAACATTTTTATTTTTGAAACATGTTGCCCTTTTTTCTTACAATTTTCTTTTGATCCCCATGTGTTGTTCTTTAATAACCGAAAATTCCATAAAACTAATCTCCACAACACACATACTATTCAAATTAAGAGTGCAATTCGAAAGCTATACCTCAAAGTCTTACTTTCCGAATCCCTGCCAATGCCGCTATGCCTTTGGAACCATTTAATTCTGCTTGCTTATACCACAGTACATTCTATATATTTTTTCGTCATTTATATTTTATCAATCATATATAATATTTTATCAATCATATACATCGAAAATAAGTTGTTCCCGAGTCTTCTCGCTACTTTTTTTATTAAGTATACAGTGAATAACCGACTCTTTACTAAATTTATACTCTCTCAGTCTTAAAATACTTATCCATCTTTCTATTTGAAATGTCCCAAAAAACATATTGCATTCCAAAATTAAATGTACTATTTTTTAATAACATTTCCAAACTATCCTTTTAACTAACTAAACAACTGATCTTTGTCACTCAATGACTTTCCACCACTGCCCTTGGTGAAGATTACCATACCTATCTGCCAAGACTTATACCATACCCCTAAAGGCAATACTTGAAAGAGTGCTCAAAGCTTGAAAAACACGCACACTTCCCACAATATCCACAATATTTTGGTTACGAAAAATTGGTTCTCTCCCATCGACTTCGGGTCACCGGGCCATTAGTCTAGCCGATATAATCCTCCTCCCTCAAAGGGGAGGTGACGAGCTCGAGTCCCATAGCGGCTCAAATGTTGAGGGCGTGTTTGGTGTTTTCTTGCAGTGAAGCCATGAGAGTTTGTTGTCAATGCCCATGCTAACGCAGTCTATGGTGGCATCCCGACAGCGTGGAGCAACATGTTGTTGTGGTAAGCTTCTTTGGTGCTTATACCAGCCCTAAACGCTTAACCTTTTAACACCCACAAATAAATCTTGGTCTAAAACCAGAAATTACCTTACAATATCAACACATCAAAAATATTTCTTACAACCAGCCATAGCAAATTGTCAGTGTCATATGCCATCTGCAAAAAGGACAATTTAAGATAGATACTTAAATACGGTTTCAGTAGTATGTTTAACAAAAGCCACTGTTCCACACAAAAAGCGCAACGCGATCATCAACTCTCTTCACGTGCAACCTGGAAACAAATGACAACCAAGTGAAAGAAAAATTACTTGAATAATTCACTTACATCAAATAGTGATAATGGTAAGTTCAAAAATATAAGTAAATGGCCAAGCAACAATTAATTCTGCAGTAAGCTACCAAAGGTTCATGACACGCCAATTACCTAGCCCATATTTGAATTCTGTGCCTTTCCTCTTTTCCTTGTGCGTCCCTGCAACCCATAAATTATTGTTGATTGGTACAATATTCTAGAAGTTCACGCTAGCGAACAACTCTGGTGAAAAAGAACAATAGGGAAATTTTTTTAAGAAACATTACCTGTCTAGTACCCAAAGACACGGATGAAGGACCTACATTATTAGACTGTTGTTCATCGGGGTGCTTCCCCTGCATGGCCGACATCATGGACATCATTTTGGCCATCTGGTCTGCCATCTGTGCACATGTTTGCTCCATGGTAATCATTCTCTCCTTCATCTCGCGCACCTCAGCATTAGCCTCGGAGGCCATCATCAGGGCCTCAGTGCGGCTAGGTTTTGGGCCACAAAGATCAGAAGGAGAGGGACCCAACCCATAAGTGCGCACACGACCATGTCTATCTTGACCCATTACTCGAGAGAATATGTCGTTTTGGACAGTATTGTTTTGTGAGGGCTCCTGCTGTTGAGCTGCTTGCTCACGGAGTTGCGACTGCAATGAACATGCAAACATACAATAAGATAGTTTTGATCAAGAAAGTCTGATGCTTATATATAAAGACATATATATATATATGAAAGCTTGAATTGCACAGTTGATGCTTGAACATACAATTATTACTGATGACGCTTCATTTACAGGCCGCCCATCTTTGCGTGTATGGGTCAATATGAATAGCTCTGCCCGGGATGGCTCCTTTCCGTCGGTCCTCTTTGCCTTCTATCCTTGTTAAGAAACAACATATGGTGCATTATTTTGTGAATGCCAAAATATACAGCATCTCTGCTATTTTAATTATAAGAAAGTATTAGTCACCTGTTCCTCGCGTACTCGTGCAAAGCTCTTCGTGCCTGCAGTGTGAATAATCTTCTGTCGTGCACGGTTAGCCTTGTTTGTAGTGCTGCGCTTCTAAAATATGAGACAAATAAATTAGCACCGAATAAAATATTTGAACATCTAATAATTCCAATCATATATGCATTACAATAGAATGTAAACTGTTCAGTCACTACTTGGAACATACCTTAGCCTCTTTAGAGTTCCAAAACAAAATAAGAAGTCGCCATTGATCTGGAAGAACTCTCTCGTCACGGTCTGCCAGCCGCTCCTCATCAGTTTTATGAGAGCTATAACGGCTAGCCTTTAATTTGGCCTTCCAGTCCCTCCATTTTTGGCCGATGGACATCAAGACCCAACTTTTACTTTTTGGGTCAATGTCAAACTTGGACTACAACATACATGGGAAACAAACCATCACATAAAACAAAAAGTACAAAAACCTAAAATGTTTACTCATAAATCATACCTGAACTTGCAACCACATATTCTCCTTTTTCATATCAGGTAATGCCCGCCAAGTAACATAAGTAAGGGGTGCAAAGTGTCCATTACGTGCTATGGTGCCAAGGAAGCTGGTTAGCTTGGGTGCCTCGCTACCAATTGGCTGCCCTAGCTCATTGGTGGTAACAGATATGCGGTCACCATCTCCGTTCCACAGGTCAAGGCACCGTGTGGGGCCTCGACCTCGACTCTTCTTTTGCAAGTTGCTCGAATCTATTTAAAATTAATATTAATAATAAACATATGCAAAATAGAAAGGTAGCCAGCATAAAAATTGTATTCATAAATATATATGACACATAGCACACCTGCACTACCAGTATCTGTGCCAGCCTGCTGCGGGGAAGGCCGCAGCTGTCTAGAGCTCTGCTGGGGCTGATATGGTTCATTGTAGTTTTCCAAGGGCTGATGGGACCGTGGTTGGCTTGTGTCAATCTGATCCTCTTGCCGGTGGCTGGGATTGTCAGTGATATGACCCACTTGGCACCTAGATCCATGTATTCTGCGCCTCATGCTAGACTCTGTAGGAGGCAGCAAGTATATACATCTTTAATAAAAGAAGATATGAGCATAATTATCAGAAAAGTAGTAATAAATGGAATTGAATTTGGTATAATTACAGATGAATTTTATTATATTTTTAAACCGGGCATAATAAAGGGGGATATGCACTAATTTATTTTTAATAATCGGCAGTAACTAAAAAGACATAGTATTTATAACAACTCCTTGGCAGATCCTATTTTTAATTTATCTAGGTAATAGCAGCCTCTAGCGAGAGAGAGAGAGAGAGATAGAGAGATGAAGCTAACTCATAGTTGTTAAAATCCCGATTCTGGATCTTAAAATCTTACCTACGATCCCAATTTGCCAAAACGATTCCGATCCCATCTAAAATCTCTGGCAAGTACAATCTCGGTAGAATCTATAGAATCGGAAGTAGGATCGTAGAATCCCATAGGAACTTACGATCCTACCGATTCTACTAAATCGAGTTATTTTGTTCTTCTTCTAAATTTATTTGGGCATACAATTAATTTTGGACTAATAAATTTAATCATTTTAAATATAAAGTTCAACTCTTTAGCCTAATTACATTAAAAATTAAAATTAAAAAACAAAAAAACAAAGAAATGAACGTCAAATGTAAAGACGATCAACTCTGAAATTCAAAAGTATCTTTCAAATTTTCAAAATTTTCCTCTATTTTGTTTTATTCTTCTTAATTTCTCTTTTCTTCTTTCTTTTTCAGTACAAGGAACAGAAAGAATTCTATTTTTCCACATATTCTTTGTCAATATTGAAACAAATATAAAGAAAGACTTCATTCTTTTTTCTGTTGTTCTTTCTGTCTCTATTTTGTTCCTCTTTTTTTTTTCTTAACCAAAAAGTAAACTTTTCAACTAAATTGCTAGGCAACTAAATTGTACTTTTCTCACTCTATTAGGCTTTACTTTAATTTCTTCTTTGAGATTTTGCTTGATTGTTATGCTAATTTTTTGTTGAAATCAAGAAACTGATTTTAAGTGTTTGTCATATGTCTTAGTATCTTTTAATGTGAATTAATTTTGGTAGAGTGTCTAAATTGGTTATTTAGCCTTATTATCTACTAAAATAAAAATATTTGATTTACAAAGTAAGTTTGAGTTACTTTTCCAATAGTTTTATAGAATCTTACGATACTCGATCTGATCCTACGATTCCGATCATATGAACCAGGATCCTATGTAGAATCCCGATTCTAACAACCTTACAGTCCTACTTATTTATACATTCAACTGGCAAGGAAACAAATGTTGAGTGCCTAGGCCTCATAACATCAATATTGCATTGAATAGCAGTCACACCAGTTGTTTTGGTGCTATAAAAGCAGCCATAGCCCTTGTACAATGCTCTAGATGCACAGCCAAAAACCTAAACGATTCGTTGGAAGAAGCAACCACATCTGCTCAAAAAGCATCTGCATAGTGCTCTTCAAGAAAGATACCGATTTGGTGCTGAGGAATAACGGCAGGATCTGCATGCTCTAATAACAACACCACATCTATCTTTTGTTTAAAGGCTAGGAGATTTTTACAATTCATTCAAATGGCAGAAGCAGCAGTTATGGAAGGCTTAACAAGAAATAAGCAGCAAGTTTGGCTAGCTATACATGGAGTTAAACACAAATGCCCCCATTCAAAGATAAGCATGAACAAACCCATATGCTAAGGCAAGAGATCTATCATAGTATCAATATTAAGAGAGAACCATTTTTTCTTCAGTAAAATATTAGGTAATAACATTTATCAGTATTGGAAATTATATGTATATAACACCATGAGATAAAACAAAATAAAAAATTGAACCGAGTAATGTCGAGTTTCAAGTTGTATCACATAGTCAAACTAGACACGCAACAAGGCCATCCAGCCATCCACACAATAGCACAAGCGCACACAAATCAATCTCATATCATTTGATATGTTTGATGTATTGTACAGTTGTACTAAACCTGGCGGCCATCACACCAGGTAAATAAAGATCAACCTGACACAAATCATACCTGCACTACCAATATTTATGCCAACCTGTGGCTGGCCAGGGCTAGGATGGCACTGAGAGTGTTTATACTGGGGCTGACATGATTGGCTGTAGCTCGGTGAGGGATGTTGGAACTGCAGTTGGCTCGGGCCCGTCTGATCCTGGCACTGGTAGCTGAGGTTGTCAGTCATAGGGCTCACTGGACACCTATGACGACATGTGCTGTGCTTCATGGGAGATTCTGTAGGAGGAGGTAAGCATGAATACCCTTCACAAAAGAAAGAAGTATGTGACTATTACAAAAGCAGCAGCATATGATATTGCATATGATCAAATAATGAAGGGGACATGCACTGATCAGTTTCATTAATTGGCAATAACTTGGAGACTAATATATATTATGGTCGGCAGATTACAATACCAATTTATTAATATTATTTCATTACAGCTGTATGTAGCTTTCTACAGTTCAATGTAAATTTACTCAATTGAGACCTGCACAGAAAAAGTATATTAAACATGGTTCCAGCAGCATTCTAATTCTGTTCAAATGCAGAAGGCACTACTGAGAGAAAATGCTAAGAAACATTACTGAGTGCCGAGGTTTGAGACATTTATGACTGCATTTAAGAAGCAGAGGAAGCAAATATTGTGTGCTCCTAAAGTAATGACAACTTTTACCTAGCTCTAGAAGCTACCACACCTAAATAGGTTATTTGGAAGCAGCAACCATATGCAGCTCTGATGTGGAAATAGAACCTGTATGCATTCTAGAAGCAAGGGCAAACACTCAATGCTGAGGAAGCAGTGACAGAACCAGGATGATCTAATAGCAACAGCAAGAATTATCTGGGGCTTTTAAAAGCAGGGGACCACTGGCTTGTTGCTCAAATGGCAGGAACAGTGGTTATGATGCAATTAAGAAGAGAGAGAAGAAAGTTCATTGGATAAAAATAACATGACTTTTCATGGTCCCGTTCAAAGCTTAGCAAGAAGGAAGCCATACATTAAGCCAAGATATCAATTCTATTAGAACATAAAAAACCTTTTTTCTGATAGGAATTAGGTAATAACAATTATGAGTATTGATGATTATCTATTAATACATAATAACCGTTTTTAGGTAGGAATATGAATATTGATAATTATGAGCTAAGTACATGATCACTTTTTTGATTTGGGATATGAGTATTAATAAATATTTGCTAAGTTATGGATCCATAAGATGGATCATCGAAGTATTTTAATTGAACTGGTAAACAGTGCTAATATCGTAGAAAATTCAAGATATATGGGTAGTATCTCTAATTCTCCCAAAAGCCATATCAAACAACATACAGCAAGTGCATCCACACAATAATGCAAGTGTATCACAACACTTCTTGTATTTCTCAATAATATTTGCTGTATCGTGCGATACATCTGGCTTTTATACCTTGTCGATCAGATAAACATGACAAATGACATACCTGCACTACAAATACTAATGCCAGACTGTTGCTGGGAAGGCTGCGGCTGGCTAAAGTTTTGCTGGCACTGGCAGTGTTTTTGCAGAAGCTGATCTTGCTGGCTCGTCAAATTCTGCTGGGAGCTGAAGTTTTCAGTGTTTTGGCCCATTCGACACCTATACACACGAGTGCAGCCTTTCATGGGGGACTCCATAGGAGAAGGTAAATTTGAATGCCCTTCATAAAAGAAAACAACTGCTTAATTATTACAAAAGCAGTAATTTACAGTATCTAATCCAGTTTCATTACATGGGTAACATGCACTGATGAGTTTCAGTAAATGTCAGTAACTTCAAGATGAATGCATTGCATAGGAGTTAGTAGGCAAATTCAACAATTTACCAATTTCATGTTATAATGGGTCAATATGTTTGCAAATAAACTTTGAGATGCTGCCTGACAAAATGATAAAAATACTGCTGATAGGACATGCTCATTATATTTGTCTTAGCAAATGTCTTACTAAAAGGCATATATGGGCCACTCATTCTGTGATCAATCTTATAGAAAAGTGAAGAGGATATCTAACTTTCATAAGAGTCAAATTTGAGTGTCTACTTGTAAATCCAATACTAATAACCTACTACGGTATTAGCGGCACAAAGACTTCCCATGTTGATAAGTAAAAGCACCAAACACTAGAAACTGAGTCAACCAAAACCTCTCAGAACTGTGAGCTTTCTGTATTTAGTAGAAAAGAAGTACATCATAAAAGTAATAACAATTTCCATTATGTGTTATTTGTAATTTCAAACGTTGGAAACTGTTAAGTCAAGACAATTGTTATTTATCCAAGATTCAGTGGTATTGACGGCACATTTATCAAATGTTGGTAAACCAAAGCAGCCAACACTAGAATCTGAGTCCATCAAATCTCTCAAGCTTAAGAGCTATTTGCATTTACTATCTAAGAAAGAACATTAAAACTAGTGACAATAATTTTTACCTTTTTATTACTAATCTTGTTTAGTGCATTCCGAATAAAAGCCACATTGGCATGGAGTCAATCGCTCTGATGATCTAGAGAAATCATCCTCCCGAGAAATAAACATTGTCTCATATATGTCAAGTGTTATAATCTTGCAAAAAATGTGCCAATCATACTCACCAACTGTGAACATTCTAAAGTACAAGATACCAAAGATCACACTGCATGTGAACCCTGATATAACTAAGTCACCTGGTAACTTGTGAGCATGCACACACATGTATTATGAATAACATTTTAAACCTTATTTATAAAGCCAATTCTTGGTTTCTACTTAGCAAACTAAATCTTCATGACACTTATGAAGCAAACAAAAGACTAACAATATCTCAATTTCAGACTCAAATAAAGTCACTGGCACGCCACGCTCTCGAGCTAGACGGAGATTCCCCTTGCCAATTGATGAACTACTTACTATAGCCGGCTTCCAACGGTGAAAGTTCAAATAGAGGACCTTAGGCCATTAGGGAGGAAAAAGGGTGTTACACTAGAGGAAGAATTGTGGCAAATTCAGAAATTAGTGAAAGTGGGCTTCTCCCCTTATCTTTTTCAAGACTTTTTGCAGCATGTGAAAGAACAAAGTCCAATAGGTATTGGCTGGCTAAGAGCTCAAAGGTTGAATGGAATAGATTCTTTTTTAGATATCAAAATCTAAATCGGATAGAATAGATGGATGGACCTATCTTTCTATTCATATATATTGTATCAAAGTGGAACGCTAGACTTGGATACTCCTCAGTCTGTCAAGGGCAAGATAGCATCATTTTACGCGTAGAAATCTGGGCTAGCTACGGTCTAAGCCTTAGCCGGCAATTACAAAGGCGTGGCGCGATCATCATTTGGATAACAACAATCAGATGCGAGTGAATCCCAACAGTTACCAGGAAAAAGAACCAACACCTATTATGGGGCAAAAGAAATAATTAGCACTTTTATGAAGTTTTAGGAGTAAGAGCAACATATGCTGAGGAAGCAATGGTGGCAACAGCAACACCCATTATGGGGTTCTAAAGGCAATGAAATCACATGAATTTGCTCAAGTAAGGAGCAGCAGTTCAGGAGGGTTTAACACAAAAGAAGGCAGCAAATTTCACTGGCTAAAAATATAGCGAATGTTCTTGCCCCCATTTCAGAAGTTAGCATGGATGATGCCAATGCAAACACAAGAAATCAATCAAAACCTCAACAGTAATATATTTTATGGAAGATTAGGCAACAATAATTATACACAATTATACTGATGTGTAACTTATGCAAACCAGTGTGTTTTTTCGCATTGTACAATACAAGACATATTATGCATATTTCAAGTCATATTACGTGGATGGATTAGATGATCTGATGTGTTACACAATAAGCGTATCCACAAGATAGCACAAGCACATCAGACGTACATCTCATATCATTCAACTTCTTGTTGTATCATGCAATACAATGAACTGTCAAACCAACTGACTAGGATGCATCTGTCAAATAGCATACCTGCACTATCCACATTTGTGGCAGTCTGTGCCTGGGAAAGTTCCGGCTGAACAGATCCTGTCTGCAACTGGCAGGGCTTCTGCTGGGTCTGACATGGCTGCCGGTAGCTCCGTGAGAGCTGTAGTTGGCTCAGAACTTCTGGATCATGCTGCTGTTGGCTGGGGTTGTATGTCATTGGACCCTCTGGGCAACCATGCCCATGTGCGCTGCACCCAATGGTAGACTCCGCAGGAGGCAACTGTGAATTTGCTTCACAAAATGAACAAATAAAAAATATTACAAAAGCAGTAGCATATGTATTGAATCTGTTGGAATAGGGTACATCCACAATAGTTTCAGTAATGAAAAAAAGGCTGGTTGGTTAATTTCACTTGCAATTTATCAATTTTACGTTATAAAAGGCTGTGTGTGGCTTCTAGACATAAGTATGATTGTAACTCGACTCAATTGTGAAACTGCGTAGAAAAAAGCATATCAAACATGATTCCGGCCAACTCTGAACATATGCACAAGGCAGCATCTGGAAATGGGAAGACACTTATGCGTGCAGAAGGTGGGCATGAATCTATACGAGTCCTAGATCATGCAGCATATTTATTGCATTTAAAAAGAAGGGGAAGCACCAATCTAGAGCTCTCAAAGCAAGAAAAGAAAAAAAAAAGAACTTGTCCAATGCTCAAGAAGCAACTAATCTAAAAGGCTCTAATCATCTATATGATCCTTAAAGAACCAGGATAGCACATGCATGGCTCTCTAGAAGTAGGGTCACCAATCCAGGGTTTGAAAGCGAGGGCGATAGCAAACTGGTTTTGACTGTTGCTTCAAATCCATAATCAAGTCTACAAAAAAAACCAACAAAACATAAACATTGTATGATGGCCCCCGCAAGCACTAGCACGTGAGTGCACACACAAATCGGGTGGAAAAAACTCATTCCATCCACTTGGACTTCAAATCACAAGCAATGGGTCCACCATCGTAGTCATTTTTGTATGGACTTAGAGGACGTTGTCCACTCATCAATTAAATTGGGTGAAGGTATAATGCCCAAAATGGAAAGATAAACAGAAATATACTGAACTTTACATGCCGCTGTGACAGGGGAGGGGAGTTGAGTTGTCAACTGTCAACCTTGCCTTGGCTTCATTGTTGATTGCTGACATTTTCTTCGTAACTTCTAATGCAGAACCCTATCTTAGAATTTAAAAGGTCCTCTTTTAAATGCAACTAGGGTCTCCAAGATCTCCATTATTTCTCCAAGCTGTCATATTTTGCAAGAACTGCCTCCCTGGGTATTTAATCATTGTTATTCAAAAGTTAGGATTTGCATTGCATGTTCTATCACCATGCAATCAGCTGCAGAAAGGTGATTCACCGACTCATTTATTGTGATTTCTATATTCTAATTGATTGATCACGTACATTGATCATTTAGTTTTGACTGTGCAGCATCTATATCGTTCAACAATATTAATCTTGGAAGGTAAAGGCTTTGCAGTACAATGACAATAATCTACTGAAGATGTGTACTGTAGTAGTGGCCAGTTGTACCTAGAAAGATGTGGATAATAAAACATTTGAAAGAAAGAAGTTACAATTCAGAAAACTTGATAATAATGTTCTTTAAAAATCGTATAACCCACGCCCTGTTTCAACATGATTATAGAGAGTTGCAACAGTATTCAACACCTTTTGAATGCATGCTTGTGTGTCCATGTCATATATATATTTTTTTTGTTGCCATGTCGTGTATCTGTGTTGTAGGGTTTAGAAATGTGGGTGACATCAATTTTTGGTATGTTTCATTTTTCTTTCTTTTCTTTTCTTTTTTCCTGACATCATTTTCTTTTTTCTGACCTATTTGGCGATTTAACACCTAAGCAGCAAAAATAACAGCAAGGACAAATATAGTACATGCCACAATTGCAAGGAAATGGGAAATATTGCAGCAGCAATGTTCCATCAATTTCAGGCAACAGTCAATAAATAGCTAGCAAACGTTGGATGTATGGGATCCTTGAATAGAAGTATATATGGACATTGGTATATAGTCATATTAGTTACTATTTGTCATTTCCTTCTGGAATAAAATAATGTTTCTATGCAACACAGTGTTCAAGATAGGCATTTAACTCTTTTGAAGCAATGATATAATAGAATTAAACTATTGGAATATTGAATGCGTTTTTTAGGTACATGTCCAACCAAAAATGTTGAACACATGTTTCATACCCTTGGTCAAGTGTTGTGTGTCTAACGTGTACTTCACATACTTTTAAAGAGTCCACATTATATAGCCACTATTTTACAGCTAAGAAATCAGAAGACGGGCTGCAGAAGATTAAATAGTGGGGCTGCATTTTGAATAGATAACAAATAAACAAACAAATTACTGAGGCCAACTTTGAAAAACGTTTCTCAACAAAGCATATGGAAATAAGCCTAGAAAGTCGCCTTTTTTTTTTCCTAGTTAATATTCCCACCTCCCCCTCCCCCTCCTCCCTCCTAGGAATTGTTTGCACCCAAGAGAAGTCGAACCTTAGACCTGATGCTTCATGAGGCACCAGGGCCAAGTGACTTACCCACTTGAACCAACCCCTTGGGGTTAGAAAGCCGCCTATTTGTTTAAGAGGTGCAAATTTTTTGCCTGGTGACCAATAAGATGCTAGAATACTGTTAGCTAGTTAATCAGGAGCAAGAATTATTGTGTTACCCAACAAATGCACACTCACAGTTAATGATCTATCCAACAAGTGTACTGGCCAATTTCAGCATTGAGAAAACCCAAACCATCAATTCATAACGAGCATACCCATGAAACCGTCACCACCCAATGGTTGTTTGCTGTACAACCCAGCTGCTGTCCAGTACTTCAGGAAGCTCCTTTTCACACGCTTCATGAGCTCTAAAACATAATGGCCTTTATGATTATACTTGCGACAGTTCTCCCAAATATGTTGCACATCCTTAAACACATCCTTTGAATTCAAGTACTTAACACCATTTTTGAGATTGCTGCATATTGTACCAAAATCCATAGGTGTCTCAATGATATCCAAGTAATCCTGGTTCCATTCCCACGAAGAAAAAAATAAAATAAAATAAGAGAAAGAAAGAAAGAAAGAAAATTCAGTACAAATAAGAAAGCTCAAAAACATGGAACAAATTGAGTATATTTGTAGCCATGAATGAAAGAACAATGTTCCAAGGAGATCTCATGACTTCACATTACAAAATAAGGAAGTAAGAACTTTGCAATATGCAAGCAAACTATTTATTTAAAGAACATTTATAACTAAATGAAGATGATAATCACTGAAAGAAGGGAGATAAGTCCCCCAACACAAGATACGAAGCTTAATCACTGTTCTTTTGTAGAAACAACTGAACAAAAATACATTAGTTTCTTATATAATGAAACTCAGCTCGTTCTAACAATTTATCTTAACTACTCAAAGAAAAAAGCAGCACTTGAGTACATTTGTAGTCAAATATGAAAGAACGATGTTCCAAGGAGATCTCATGACTTCACATTACAAAATAAGGAGTAAGAACTTTGCAATATGCAAGCAAACTATTTATTTAAAGAACATTTATAATTAATTGAAGTGGATAATCACTGAAAGAAGGAAGATAAGACCCCCAAAACAAGATATGAAACTTAATCACTGTTCTTTTGTAGAAACAACTGAACACAAATACGTTAGTTTCTTATATAATGAAACTCAGCTCGTATTAACAATTTATCTTAACTCCTCAAAGACAAAAATCAGCAATTGCTGGAAAAGTCCACGAGCATTACTTTCAGATATATCCCCTCCAAAGAGGTCATTCTAACAACTATCATCCTTCCTCCCCAACAATAATAAAAGACAAAAACCGTGCTGCCAATGAGGTTTCTGAAAGGAGAAGAGTGAAAACAGAAATAACCTTTTGTATCAATTTGAAGACAAACTTTCTCATAAACTCGAACCCACCTCCTCAGATTTGTCAGCCCAGTCTTTCACCATTGCACCTATCAATGGTCCCTAAATAATAATTGTAATACTTTTATTGGTGGGTATTGGAAAAGGATACTCCTCAAATGCTCATGAATACATATTTAATACTTCTTAAATGTATCGCTACTTTGAAAATGATATCTTTCATTTCAACATGCACCCGATACTTCTTCAATATTCCTGGACACATGCCTGACACATTTTGAACATTAAAATGCAGTACATCTAGGTAGTATAGTTACTATAGTATCATGATATGGTTGTTTGAAAAAACTCAAGGATTATACTTAAACCGAAGAAGAATTGAGATATAATGAGAATATATTATATTTAACTTAGTCCAAAGTCCATGTTCGTGCAACATATCTCTTAACTTTCTCATGTGATTTTCAATGTGATAAACTAAAAATGATGAATAGTTCAAAGAATCATTAAGACTTGACTGTCATATTCTTTTATAAGGATTAGTCATTATAATGTGAATAACATGATAAACATTATATTTATGAAAAGAAAATGATAAACATTCATTAATTTATACATTAGACACACATTTTTAAAATCTATGCACATGCACATATATACGATGTGCGTGCGCACACACAAACACACACATATATTTATTGATATGCATTGTTGTATCCGTATCCTATCTTTTTAACTTTGTCATATCCCTGTGTTTGTATTGTTTCAAATCCATATATGTATCTTAGCCATGTTGGTAAATTAGTAGGATATGTTTTAAACACTCTCTATTAAGTTAATTCTTACAGGTATTCCCAATGCAATGGGATCTACTGGAACATTGAAGGGCTCAGCAGCATCCATTTCCATAACCTTCTTAATCACCTGTGAAGGGAATATGATGACGTCAGCAAATAAGAACAAATGCAACACACATATTTTAGGCAGATATCAGAAAACGGGATTTTTTTTTTTGTTTTTTCCTGCAAGCGTTGCCCAAAAAAAAAAAAAAAAAAAAAAACCTATATCTATATAGCCTACTATTGGAAGTGTGTAGATTTTTTGTTTTTATTATATAGTTTCTATGCATAATATTTTTAGTTTTCGATTCAAGAAGTTGGATAGACCAACTATTTGAATGGGAAAATAAATATTGCAATAGGTACAACTATTGGAATCGCCCACTAAATATAATATTGAAAAAGATGATAAAAAAAATCAAAATATGATACATGTACTAAATTACATATATGTTTATAATTATAATTTTTCTTTTCATTTAAATTTCATGAAATAAACTCCTATTCAATTTAGGCCTCTACGAGACAAAGAGTCATGCTTTATAAACTTCTAACTCCACCATTCTAAGATATACAAATCACAACTTTTATTCAATTTAGGATTCTGAAAGACAAAAAGAATAATACACAAAAAGTCACCCATTACACAATTTTTACTTATTTTTATTTTTGATAAGTAAGAATGTATTATTGAACGCTTTCTAAGACAATCTAACTTATTAAAAAAATTAAAAATAAAAAGTAAGATTGCATTAGAATGCGTTCAAACGGATAACGCAACCCACAAAAGCTACCCAAAGATCAAATAGGGCCCCTAAACTCTCAATATGTCCAAAAAATCAACTATCTCCCCCATAGGTTTTACAATTTCTCCCAAGAACCCAACAAAAACACACATTACACATTTTTAAGTTATCAAATGGTAGTGTTTTAATGGGAAAAAAAAAATTTAGATTTATTTGGAGGGGGTTTGCATAGGTGCAGAGATTGCGAAAAAGGGTGCTCACTTGTGTTTCATATAAGTTTTTTTATATGGTTTCCAAATAAGCATTCTTTCCGATGTGCCAATCAGTTAGGAACCTTAGTTTTCTAGCACTAACGTACCATTATAATAGTAGACTTGATTTATTACCTTAGTTTTCTAGCACTAATGTACCATTATAATAGTAGACTTGATTTATTATATTACTTTATTATGTATTATTATCATGATATACTTGATTTCCTAAATTATTTTAAATTTTCTTTTATTTAGAGTTTTCAAGCAATTCTTTAAAAAATCAAACAGGATTTAGGCAACATTTAGTTTGAATTTCAAAATGATTATTCAATTCATCTTTAAGAGAATAGAAATATTTTACTTTTACTTCGTTTTCCAGATTTAAACAAAATATTGTCCAAGGAAACAAACCAAAAAATGAACTTTTAGATGGAGACAAGCCCCCAAACTAACATATAAATAAAATAAAATAAAATAAAAATAGCATTGAAGTATTCAAAATTGTTGTGCATCATTATTATATTAGCAAATTATTTCATGATTGCTATTTCATTTTTTAATTGGGACTTACAACAACTTTTTACTAGTACATATATATATAATAACACATATCCGACGTACCACCAGGGCAGCATTTAATTCTTGCTCTTGGTATTGAGGACCCTGATGAGCTAATCTTGGTTCTTTCCGGTTTGTCCTCTCATGCTGGCCCAATACCGCATTACTACTTGGGTTTGTATTTGAAGAACCCAAGTCCCTCGATAATCTTGTTGTTATGTTCCCAGCTTCCACAGTCAGGTTATCTTCTGCTCTAACATTAAATGCTAGTTTTTCTAACCCTGCTTGCTGGTGAACCTTATCCCTGGCAGTTTTTGGTGTTTCAACCTCCATTCTGGAGTCATATTCAGCATTTTCAAAATCATCTGCACCAGGGTGATCTTCTGTATTTGGAAATTCCTCAACTGCGCCCACTACTGGGTGCCTTTTTGGTTTGCATTTCCCATTACGCTTGCGCTTCATATTATTAGGACTAACAAACTTGAAAAACAAACTTCCTTCTGTCACAGAAACTTCCAAAAGCGGCAGGCTAGAGCCAACTTGTTTCAGATCTTTGGCCTCTTAACATCACAACAGTGCAGAATAACCTTCAGCATCCAACTTACCAAAAAAACAAACTTAAAGGATGCAAAAATGTAAATAAAGTAGCATTCCAAATAAACATAGCTAAATTACTTGTGATTTTGAAGAAGCACTTCCATAACCATAAATTAGGAGAATAAAAGGAATAAGAAGAATTACTTTTTCCTTGAAGTGAACTCCATTCTCTAGGTTCTGTATTTGGTTATAGAGTAAAGAAGGAATGGAAATAAAGAAACTGATGCATAAGAAATAAGTTAACAAGGCTAGACTCCATTTCTCATTAAAGACGTGCATTTTTGTGAATATCTCATTGATCAAGAGAGAACAAGTCCATGCAATTGGCAGTTCAAACTGTCAGTAATAATCATTTTAGAAGCCCATCATTCATCCAGTTGAATGTTAGTCCTATGACAGGAGACAAGTTTCAGTAAATTTGTTTTTAGAAGTTTTTTGCATTGCAGATAAAATCATACAAGAACGTGAATGACCAGAGCTGTTGCTATTTAGACCTTTCCAGTTCAGCTAAAGCTCTCATTTTAACAAAAGACATTATTTCCTGATGTACAGCTTATTTTCACGTAAGAAAAATCCCATAGATTGTTCCAAAGAAACATAAATTTCAGGGTAAATCCTTGTCAATCTTCAATTAGATTCAGAAATATGTATCGTGACCTTTAATTTTTTTTTTTTTTTTTTTTATTATTTTTTTTAAAAGACACCCTTAAAATACTTTCAAATAAAATGTGCCTTCTTTTCTTTCTTTTTTTTTTCACCTTTTCTTTCCCCCCCTATTTTAGGTGTGTGAGGGTCTTCTCACAAACCAAAGTTTCAACTGCCAGCACATGGGACCTGTCTGATGATTGAACCATTGAAGTAGTTTCCAAGAGTAGGTAAGATTCACCACTGCCATTGTCCAAGATAAATAAAAGCACGTGTACTTACTAATAGGCAATGTTCTAAACAAACTTTTTTACCATGCCTTTCCATTTCAACTGAATATGGCTGTTGCCGTAAATTTAATATAAAAAGGACGGGAGATATTATTTATCCAATTGCTTCTACTTTAACTATGCTAAAAGGAACTTGGCCCAAGTGGATAAGAACTTGGCCTTGTGTCTCATGAAGCATCAAGTCTAAGGTTCAAATCCTCTCGGATGAAAACAATTCCTTGAGGGGGTGTGTGAGTACCAACTAGGGGAAAAAAAACCTATCCTTCAAGGAGAGAATTTTTTTAGCTGCCATAATGATCTCGCTAGTAGTAATAGTGCCTATCACGTGTGTGTCATTTGACGGAGCAAAATTTTCTTCCCAAAGTTAGTGACTTTAGCTTCAGATAGAAAGCAAAACACTGGATTTTGCTTACAGAAAAACCCTTTTTAAAGTCAATCGCTGATACTGAAATCTACACTTACGACATTTTTTAGCTTTAAAAAAAAATAGTAAACTTGAAATGCCAACAAACTCTACCTTACCTAAACTTATATGTCTCTTCAGTAAGCTTCAAGAAAAAAAAGGGTTTTGTCTGATTCAGAGGTTTACAGCTTGAACATTTGTCCACTGATGGAATTCGAGGCTCACAAGTCACAATTATCTTGTGAAGTATAAATGTTAGTTCAGTTTAGAGTCTTGGGACCCAGCTGATAAAAAATGCCCCTTTATATATATATATATATATATATATATATATATATATATTCCTGTTAGTAAGGTCTTGTAAATCAAATTACCCAGCACTCAAAGAATAGTTATCCAAATAAAGCGACAGAAACAAAAAAATTCTATCAATAATGAGAAATCCACCATTGCATGTGTCGTTGTTGAAGAAGAGAGATGGAAAAACCCTAAAAAGGATGCTTGTATAGAGTTTATAATCAATCCATGTTAAAGATATATTCTAAAAGCAACAGATTGTACGATTCAGCAAGAATGAGAATGGTAGTCGTTGAATAGATGAAATAAAATGCAAAATTAACCAAATGTTAGTTCAGTTTAGAGTCTTGGGACCCATACCTGTTCGAGGGCGTTTTCAGTGCTTTGCAAGAGGCTTACGGTGCAGAAGCTAATTGAGGGACTCGAATGAGTGTCATTTCTGTGTGTGTGTCAGAGAGAGAGGGGAACTGAAGATGCCCCGAACTGAAAATGCGGGGAAGGTTACACATGGAAAATTCTACGTGCACAGCTTTTTTTTTTTTTTTAAGTATCCTACGTGCACAGCGTTTTCTCACTATGCATCATAAATACGAATGACGTGGCCATTTTTAAATCACACATTTTAAAGTGGAGTAAATCACACATTATTTTACTGCAGGTGATTCACCCGCTTACCTCGTGACATCTGTTACTTAGATTAATGCATTTTGACATAAAAATAAGATTAAATTACACTTAAATTCTTTAAAGTTCGGATAAATGCATTTTGACATAAAAAATGGATAGATTAAATTACACTTACATTCTTTAAAGATGGATAGATCATTTTACCTTAAAAGTGTGAAGTGTTCTTTTTTTTTTTTTTTTTTTTTTTTTTTTTTTTTTTTAAGTTAATATAAAAAAATATGTCAAATCAAAATATTCTATTACACTCTCTTATTGTTTTAAATTACCTTACATTTAAAAAAAAAAAAAATAGAAAACTAGTCAAACCATAAAATAACCTAATCAAATATAATTAACAAAAAATATATATTTTGGAAAATAATAATATAAAATTGGTATGAAAATTAATGTTTTACATTTCAATAGATTTCATAATATTTTTGTAATTTCATGTCAAAATATAAGAATATTAAGGTCCTTTAACACAAGGAAATGACAACTTAATTATTTTTTGAATTTTCATTAATGACCAGGAGTATTTTTTAGCACGTGCCAAATCTGAGCAAAGATCAAAATAATAAAGGTCAAACACTCTAACGGTGTGTAATTTGTCAAACTCTCAAGGGAAGTAAGTGTAATTAACCCTTAAACTTTTTGTCAAATTGCACACCGATAGAACGTCTAACACTTAATACTTTAACCTCCTGTCAAGATTGGTGATGTGCTTAATGATACCCTACTATTTTACAAATGAAATTTTATAAAATAACTATGTTGCCCTTTCCTTTTATAAAAATACAATAACAATATTGGGGTGTTGTAATAAAATGACAAAAAATAAATAAAAAAGAAGAAAAAGATGAAATTCCCTAAAGTATTGTTATATACGAAGATGATTGTTTTACCCATGTCAGGTTTTGTTTTTTGGGCTTTAGCTTAGAAAGCCTCAAATCAATTAAGGATAGCACCACCAATTATAAGCACTTCGCATTTTTCTTACCTTGATAATGTGGGATTGTGTAACCAGTAGCTCGTCTAATGCCTATTCACACCCTATCCATATAGGTCGTCACAATTACCCCCTCCTTAGGGGCCTAACGTCTTCATTAACCATACTTTCGGTTGGGTAAAACTCTGATAACATTTTTAACGATCTATTCCACCATATAGTATGATATTATACATTTTGGGCTTGATCCCGCGTGGTTTTGCTTTGAATTTTACTCTAAAATGCCTCATATCATTGGAGATAGCACCACCACATATAAGCACTTCACATTTCTCTTACTCAGGCGATGTGAGATTGTGCAACATGTAGCTCTCCGAGAGTGGGAGCTCGCCGAGTGCCTATTCACACTTGCCCACATAGGTCGTTACATGTGGTGATTGATTTTTTTTTTTTTTTTTTCCATAATAATAAAGGTAATATTACTAATTAATAACAACCTTTGAAGCACGGACACAGAACATGTGTACGACACAACACGGATATGATAATACAACAAATTTTTAAAAAATAGGACATGGATACGGCAAGGATACAACAATAAAATAATAACATATATTTATTATTATACATAAAATTTTAATTTTTGTCTAATTTCTAATTTTATATTCATAAAGAAAGTCAAAGATAAATGAATAAAAGGTTCACAACTACTCTATTCCTATTGAATCAGTTTCTTCTTTCCATTATATATCTATTTTTATTTCTTCATTATCGTAACAAATATTTATATTATACAAGAAAAAGGAAATGCCCGGCCCAAAGGCAAACCCACGTCCACTCTTGCATCATCTTTTTTAAAGAGTGAAAAATAACTCACAGGCTAAAGACATCTTGGAGCAAATGCACAAAACCTTTTTCTCATCATCCTTTGAGTTCATTACTCGTCGATATGTAGGGAACTTGTGGGAACATATGCTTTCTTCACGTAAAACGTCGATCTATGACCCACCCTTTTCCCTAAAGAGTTAGATTTGTCATAAAAAGAACTCCGATTACCATTTCATTCATTCTTGCACCCCTAATTGTGTATCTATTTGATGAAATGTTGTACTCACTCAACTAAGTTTGACACGTGGATTTTTTACAAGGAAAAACCATAATGTAGGGTTAAAAAACCTTGGAGTTATGGGAGCTCACCCTAAACTTCCACTATGTAGATTGAAGGATACATACACTGTAACGACCCAAATCCGGTGGATCCAAGTCTTCAATAGGTAATACAACATAAATAGGGTCCTTACCTGAACCTGAGGTCAAAATGAGGGCAAAAGGGTCATTACTCATCATTCTATGGCTCAGGAATCGTTGCTCGGGCACGCGTAGGTGCCCGAATAGAGTTATCTACTAGTAAGTCAATGTATCTAGGATCACCCTACAATAAACTGATTTTGAGTAGCATAACATATGAATCACATTTGAGGTTATACTAGTTATTATTAACTGTTATAATGTGATTAGAGTGGAATTTCAGGTAAAAAGTGCATGTCATAACCTTTCATGTGTTACACATCACGTAACTTAATCATTTAAGCAAATAATACTCTTATTATTTAAGGTTTGGATAAATCACCACATAGTGAGCGCTCACTTCTCAACTATTATTACTAGTTAAAAGTGAGTTCTTAACTATCATGACTAGCTTAAATTAAGTACACTCTTTTCATATCTCACTACTAGTTTATGATAAGCACCCACTACCACTAGCATGAAGTTAAGTTTGCTCAACTATCAATTCTAGTAACTCTTAACTTTAGTACACCCTCATCTAAGTTGTCTATATTTGTAATAGAAGAATTTGTTTTGGAAAATATTATCCAAAAACTATTACTTTACAAGTAGTATTCTTCCCTCCTACAAGAACAAATATAACGTATAACTCAAATAGCTTATATCTAAAATGGTTATTCATCATCCTCTTATTTTTTCTACCAAGTTGAAAGATAGAACCAGCTAACAAATTTTCATCTTCCTCTTAGCTTCTTGTGCACCTCATTAATCATTTTAGCTTATAGCTAAATTAACTAGTTTATAGCTCAGTAACATTAGCTTTTAGCTAAATTGTACATTATACATAACTAGCTTGATTTAGCTTGTCTCAATATACTAGCTTAGTGTATCCATAATATTTATTCATTAAACTCCTGAGAATTATTGGGAAGCTCTTTCTTATTCAGCCCATTCATAACTATACGTGTCTTGGACATTAGTACAAATATTTTCCCTTGACTATTGAGAGATTTGACATAACTAGACTAGTCAATTTTTGTTTGTCGTATTAAATACACAAAACTAGTCATGAACTCGTACAAATATAATAATATCACACATTAGATAAACTATATTGTAAAATTGAATTACAATGCACACTAAGTAATTCAACTACATAGCTCAATATTATAGTATCAATATAACAGTATAGTTTAATACTATATCACATGATTAATTATATCACATAATTAATCTAAGAAATAATAGTATTCAGAAGAAGACCTTACTTCCTTAAAGTTTTGTGACTCATTCTCCAATAAACATGTTAGAAAATCATAACCAAAAGATTTAAACGTTCTGGCCCTCTTGCTATGTCTAAGCTCATCCTTATTTTCATTGTATGATTTATGTACAAGAAAATGATATGCAATACTATTATGAGCATAGCCTATCAAAGGTTTTATGTAACGATCTATTTCACCACATGGTATGATATTGTCCACTTTAGGCCTGAGCCCGTACGGTTTTGTTCTTAGATTTTATCCCAGAATGCCTCATACCAATTGGAGATAACACTACTACATAAAAGCACTTCACATTTCCCTTACCTAAGAGATGTGGGACTGTGCACTTGTAGCTTGCCTAGTATGGTAGCCTGTCAGTGCCTCTTGCACTCGTCCACGATACACCCACCTATAAGGTTGTCATATTTTAGGTCTCACTTTAACTTTCTTAGGAGTTCGAACTACAACCTTAGCTAAACACTCCCACACTTTAAAGAATTTATAGGAAGGTTTTTGACCTTTCCATAATTCATATGGTGTCATATTTGTTTTCTTTTAAGGTATTTTATTGAGAATATAATTTATGGAAAGCAAAACTCCCCCCCCCCCCCCCCCCCTCCACAAATTCTGAGTTAAACCAGAACTTATCAACATAACATTTATCATTTCTTCGTGAATGATACCATGTTCTAAACATTTTTAAGGTTTCATCTTTGCTTCTTAGCAAATATACAAAACAGTATATTTTGCAATCATTGATAAAGGTAACGAAATACATTTTTCCACCTCTAGTTGGCATAAATTTAAGATTATATAATATACTACATAAAATCACATGACAAAATTAAAATAATTCAACTAATATTGAATTATATAAATAAATCAATAATCTACTTATAACATGCTTCAATTTCACATAATATTGAACTCATCAATATTTAACATATTATCATATAATAATGTATATAAAATTATTTTATTATATCTCAATTATTAGTATAATCTCTAATTGCTTATATCTTAAATAGAAGCATATAATAAAATCTACGCAAGGATAAATTCTCTTATAATTGTTGGAAAGATATATGCTTCAAATGACATTTAAGATATAACCAACCTTATACTAATATGCCATAAGATAATTAATAATATGCTAAAAAATAATTAATTAAATATACAACTCAATATTTAATTAAACATGCAAATTAAAGTAATAAAATAATAATAATAATAAATAAATAAATAAAGAACCTGGACCAAGGCTAGTATTGAATACTATGTCATTAAGACAATTTACGCCGCGCATCGTGCTGACGAACTCTGTGGCGCTTGTCTCCTAGGATACAACGGTCTACATCCACTAGTAGCATCACTACAAACCC